TGGTTTCTCTCATATTTAATAAAGTTTTCCTTTATTAATCCTAACATTATAATGTCCCCACACATTAAATGTTACACAAGTTAAAATAAAAATAATAAAAATAATTTAAAATAAATAAATAAAATAGGTTTTAAATATTATAAATATATATTATAAATTATCTGTTTTAATTTATCATTAATTTTTTTTAAAATCTTTTATATATTTAAATTAATAATATATGTAAAATATCAGATATGACTTGTTTTAGCTATAAATAAAATAGTTTAATTTCTATTTCATTTTTTTACTACTTTAACAAATGTTAAATTATTATTGATATTATTAATCATAATATTTATAATCTTATTAATTTAATAACAAATAAATATAAATAAATATATATTTTTTTCTTAACAACTGGTATATATCATATTTTATTAGATGAAATTTTTGTGATATATGTGTTTTTTTCTTTATGAAAATTGACTACTACCTTTCTACCTAATAAAATGATCTAGAGAAAGTTCTTATAACTTTATTCACCAGTTGACTTATTGCTCTCCATTCTTCCATATTATCAATATCAGAGCCCTAATAGTATAGGTGATGAACTATATGTGCCAAAAAGTGCACCTTCTAGTTCTATTCACTATCCAATAAATGGAAACTTGAAGAACTGTATCTTAATATAATTAGCCACAGACTAGCTATATTTGACAAGGAGTCTTTGTGGCTCTAGCTAGGTCTCTTGAAAAATCTGGGGTTTCTTTTATAGTTTTATAAACTTGAGAGGTAAGGAAGTGTGCTCCATATATGAGAATCGGAGAAAGCATCAAACTTGATGATGATTATTGTAACACTGCTGGACAATAATTATACCACTACACCTTTTCTTGATATTACAATCCTAATACTTATTGAATCAATATATGAATTGGCTTCTTATAGGAAACAATGTATATTAGGTTATGGCATCAGATATCATATTGAGACAGTTTGTTTTCATGTTAGCCTCTTGGAGGATTTGAACCAGTATCTTATGATCTAACCTGTAGAGTACTAACCACCATACTATAGATTTATAGGTCATAAATATAAATATATAATAAACAATTTTTATTTAATAAATATAAATTAAAACTTGTCTTTATTTAAATTATAAAGTTTTCCAAACTTGTTAAAATGTTTTTTTTTATATTTTAACCAGAATGTATATTTTAAATTTATATAAAATTGATAGTTATTGATTGTATTTTTTAATTTTTATTAATAAAATATACAGTTATGGCTAAAAAAGTTTTTATTAATATTGATGTTCAAATATTGAAAGTAAATAAAATTTAATTTCCTGTTTCTTGTAACAATTTCTATATATTTTTTTAATTAGTCAAGTAAAATTTTATTATATTTGTTTTAATAACAATAAAAGAAGATAATTTTATATTTTTTAATAAAGTCTTTATAAATTTTTAAAAAGTTAGTTCTTGTATAATTGTAAAAAGATATTGCTTAACAAGAATTCATTAATTTTTTTTCTATTTTTTTAAAATTGTATATTCATTCAATATTAAATAAATATTAAATAAATTAAATAATAAATTTAACATTTAATATAAATAAATTAGATTACTTTTGTTTTATTAAAATAATCTTTAATACTAGATCTATTAATGTTTTAATTTAATTTTGTTGTATAATATCTTTTAAAATATTTATATATACAGTATTAGTAATACTGCTTCCATTATAAACATATGTAGCTTTGCAATAGTAAAATAATTAAAAAAATTTTTATTTATAATACTATATTGTAAAAAAAATAATGAACCAGAATCAAGTTATAAAAAATTTTAATTTTTTTGTTTATTGCTTTATATATTTTAATTTAATTTAATTTTTCTTTTTTTGTTTTTATTTAAATATAAAATATAAAACTGATTTGATCTGATTTTATTAAATTAAAAAAATTTTAAAATCAAATCAATATGAATTTTATTGAATCAAAAATTTTAAAAAGCAAACTGATCTCAATTTATAAATCAATTAAATTTTGGTTTAAAAATTTGATTTTTAGATTCAAGTTACAATTAAAAACTCAAATATTATATTATTATTATTATTATTTATTAATACTTATTATAACCTACTATATTAAACATATAATAATTTACTTTATGTAAAAAATTATTAATGTAATAATAGTAACATTTATATGTTTGCAAAAAAACAAAAAGTTGAAAATACATATAAAGAGATCATCATTGATGGTCCAATTATTTTACAAATAACAAGCCTTAAGATCTCTTTATTCACACAATTTTACGTGATCCTCGTTCGACCGCACTGAGATAACTGTCACCATATAACGGTTGCCAAAACGTAATTATCTTTACTCAACATTTTATCCTTGTCTTTACTCAAAGAACTCAAAAATGTCATCGGGTCCTCACACTCCCGCTGAAGATCTAATGAGTGATCCAATCAACAATACACTTGATTCCCTCACTGCTACTGAGGACATTGTAACAGATCATCAGGACGATCGTTATAATGAAGACCGCCGACGTAGCAGAACAGAAGGTTATCGATGCAGGTGAGGTTTTGCATTAAGCGAATTTAGATTGTTTACGAATATCAACTAACTGCATCGCCGTTCTGCAGGAGGTCACCCAGTAGATCATTATCACCACGTCGGCGTTCTAGATCTCCTCGTCGTTCTAGGTCGCCGAGGCGTGATCGAACTCCCCCAGCTGTTAGACGTTCCCGTTCACCACGGACCCCACCGAGGGATTACCCTGACTATCGTCAATTTAACCGTCGCCCACCGCACAGTGATTCAGATAAAGATAGACAAGAAAGACGGGATCGGGGTATTAATGGTAATAGACACAGCTCGCGCGAACCCCATAGAGACCGAGATAGAAGAAACCGTTCTGTGGAGCCGAGGGAGACGAGGGAAAGGAATTTACCTTCGCGTAATAGTTTCAGACCAGATAGGAATTACAATCATAGTAGGTTATCAGCACGGGAAACGGCAGGTAATCAGATAACTTTTTCAATGAATGCCATTGGACATACTAATCCGACACTATTTTCCAATTATCTGCATGGAGTTAATCAGTATGCAACGTTATTAATATTATTTGATCTCTTTTAATTTTTGCTTTTTGAAGCTATAAATGCCTCACAGAGGTCACAAAAAGAATGCCGTGTATATGTAGGAAATTTGGCATATGAAGTTAAGTGGGCACAGCTAAAAGATTTTATGCGTCAAGGTACTATTTACAAAATTTTAAAACTTTTGTATTATAATTGCGACTCGATTGCAATATTAATCGAAATTATTAAAATGAAAGCTGGTGAAGTTGTATTTGCTGATGTTTTAATGCAACCCAATGGCATGTCGAAGGTAAATATATCAGGTCTACATCGTGCTGTTTATTTTCTTTTTACTAATCTTTTTACAACTATGTAGGGATGCGGGTATGATTATAATTGTGAGAATAATGTTATTACCGATTCATCAAAGTTATTTCACAGATCGATTCTTTTATAAAACAGTGTAGTTGAATATCGTACACCTCAAGAAGCGCAACGGGCGATTGAAACGCTTAACGACACTCAATTATTGGGAAGACCGGTTTTCATTCGAGAGGTATCTAAGAGTTCTCATTTCATGATTCATAGTATTGAAAATTGCATTTAAGGACTATTTTATTTAGGATCGTGAAACCGAAGCGAAATTTGGTACTGGTCTGAGTGTTAATAGGCCAGAAAGAATGATGCCAATCCCAAATAATAACCATCAGGCACCAAACACCAATAATGCTGGTAATGCTGGAAGGCAGATTTACGTTGGAAATGTGAGTTGATATATGTATATATCTTCATTTTTTAATATTTTGTATGCTTATGATCTACCGTTACCGTATTTTCGATATTTTGTGATCGATATTTATACAAAAAAAATTCAGTTACCATATTCAGTTGGTTGGCAGGAACTAAAGGACCTTTTTAGAAACGCAGGCACGTATAAATTTAAATAAATAAATAAATTTGCTAGATTTGTTTTGCTAGACCGATTTCAGGTGCTTATCACGTTCGATGTTGATTACATTTATTAGGAAACATCATTCGAGCAGACATACTTGTTGGTCAGGATAGGAGATCTAAAGGGTCAGGGACTGTGCTGTTTGAAACACCAGGAGATGCAGCAAATGCGATTTGTATGTTGTGATATATATGTCTGGGAATTTATTGAATTGATTAAATATGAAGGAAAGAGTTGAGAAAGGGGAGGATTGAAGAACTAATATTGGGGTCATTAATGGTTATTTTTATTTTAGCTATGTACGATGGGTTCGAGATGAATGGTAGAAGGATTGAAGTCCGTGAGGTGGGGTGTTATTTGGTTGCTTTTTCTTAGTTTGAATGTTGGACGGGAAAAAAAAAGAAAATATTATGGACGGTAGTTAGAACGTGGCTAGCGTATAGACGCGTTTTTTCTCCCGTATTCATTCTTTTTGGTGGGTTGTAAGTTTATTTGAGGCAAGTATTGAGTAGGTGGGTTTTCTTTTTCCGAATGCATTTTCCTTATGTTAGGATCGTTTTGCTGGGGGTCCACCACCACCAAGATTTACAACTCGTCCAAATCGTCCTTATACGGGTCCGAATAATTATGGTCATGGTTCTACTGGAGGATTTTATGGACCAACAACCGTACCACCGACAGGATATGGTTCAGCTTACCAATCCATGGGCCCTGGTCCAGAACAATACGATGGATATGGTGGAGGATATAATGATTTTAATGCTGCTGGTGCAAGTTTGATGGATTATAACGGCGGTGGATTTGGTGGAGGTTATATGCCCCCATACGATGGTACAGCTGGAGGATATGACGGATCGGCGGGTTACTTTCCTCCTGGGACGGCCGGTGGGTCAGGAACTCAAATCTTTGTCAGAAATGTAAGAACTTTGATGGTTTTAGGAAAAGTTTTAATAATTTGATTCAGTTTGGGTTGTAATTGGGTTGGTTTCGTCGCAATGATCATCTTGTTCGAAGGAAACAAATATAGTTTCTTTAATAATGTATGATATTTTAAAAGAGTTAGAGTTAAGGTGGCGATGTGACTGTGATAGAAGAAATTTCTCGCAAAGGACTGTTTGTTAGGCAGGATTAATGATGTAGGGATTAATAACAACGGTGTTTTTTTTTGTTGGGATAAATTAGCTACCATTTACAACAACCAATTTGGACCTGAGTGAGCTCTTTAAGCATTGTGGTAAGTGATTAATTATCTTGATCATTCATTATGATATCTTAGTAATTTTACTAAACCTATGTAATAAAGGTAATGTCCTCAGGGCAGAGATCCTGGAGCTAAATGGAAGGCCAAGAGGTGCTGGAGTTGTGCAGTTTGATTCAAACGAATCAGCACGTTTTGCCATTGGTACGCGAACTTTCTAGTGCACAATAGTTTTTTAATCTTCAAATATTAATTAATGTTCGTTTTCTAATCGCGATTATTATTTTTTTTTTTGTGAAATAGAAAAATTTGGTGGATATACGTATGGAGGTCGCATTATTGACGTGAACTTTGATCGATATGCCTAACAGGATTGCGTGATATGTGATGCACAAAAAAACGAAAAGATTATATATATATATATATGTATGTATATATTAAAAGAAGAAAATGTCAGCATAGTTTTCGATCAATGCTTTTTGCTTTCCCTGATATCCTTATTTTATTTTATGAAAACTACGAAAAATCTGTTTTATATTAAACTAACAAATTTTATTGATTATGGTTACATCAGAAATAGAAAGCGTCTTACATATAAAAAAAAAGCTAAAAATCAATCGTTACGATTGCATCCATAGTAAATAAGTTTCGAGAATCAATATATTACCATTAAATGACATAACAATTTTCTCGGAAAGAGAACCAGAAAACAAAATAGAACACAACGAAATCACTTCCATATTCAAATATTGTTGTTCAGATACAGTTATGTGCTTGATTAATGTAACAAGGTAAAAAGAGGCCAAGCACACTTTTTCATTCGTCCCAATTTTTTCAAAAAAAAAAAAAAGGTACTTCATCGAAAACCGTTCATCATATTTTTTTGAATGTGGAAGGATTAAATCTATTTTTTTATGTTTCGATCGAATATAAAATGTTTTTTTTCACTTGTGTAACAGTTTATCAACGTGATTATATGACGGTCTTTAATTTGATTTGTTCGACTATGGAGGCTGAGTCAAAAAAAGCAATTAAATAAAATAAAATAAAAAACTAGCAACATTGTGTTTTATTATTTTTATATTAAAATTATCCCTACGCATCAACCAACTTTTCACTTCCCTTCAGCCTTCCGGCCAGCCTTCAGTATTCGACTGATTTCCTTAAAGCCAAAGAGATCTCCAAATCTTTATGAACGCAAGATTATTCTCGAAAATCAAGTTGAACACGGATGATGGATATCCTAGGTTTGGGGCGAGCGACATAAAATCGCGGTACCAACGCCGACCACGGAATTTATAAAATCAAAAATACATGAAATTGGACAATCACGTGACCAAACATTCCAGACTTAATATAGAACATGTCCATTAATGTTCTCATTTCATCCTTCGAACATACGAAGGTGTCATGACTTTGGAAAATAATCTCTAAATCCATTTTTATCAAGTAAAGATCCTTGAGGATAAGTAGTTCCTTCTTCGATTACTTCATTAAAAATTTTATTAAGGTGAGCGAAGCGGACGAAGGTTCTTCTGTTACGCAAGTTATTGTTGCAGATATATTTGGTTTTGGAGTGTGACCTTTATGGGTAGAAATTTGAGACATTCATTATTGTAACTTAGGTGACAGAATTGAGTGTAATCATTATAATCATTATTTTGACTTGGCTGAAAATTCGATGGGAAAAAAATGACAAAGACGCAGTTCAAGACACTTTCAGAAGAAGAATTGAAAACTCGGTTCCAAACTTGGTTTGAGAAATCGAATGAGAAAAAATCCACTCGTTCTTTAGAATACATGAAAAGGAATGACATCGAATCAAAGCAAAAAAAGGTCAGAAAGCTTCCACAGACCAATAAAGGATTGAAGAAGATTAAAGAAAAGATGGAGGTTGAAAATCGAAAGAGAAATGAGAAACAAAAAGAAGCAAAAAATCTCGAGGGTAAGTTTTAATCAGCGAAATTTTTGACGATGCATTTATTTTTCTATTAATATATTTTTTTCTTTAACAGATTCCTTGAAAGATGCTGAGGAACTTAAACTGATTAATTTATCTCGAAACCTCAAATATTTTACTTTCTCCCCAGGAAAAATCAGTTAGAAAAAAATGTCCGAAAAATAAAGATATTTATTTGCTAAGGATATTAAAAACTAATTTGAAAGTTATTACAAAATTATAATATTTTAAAAGATGTCCCTCTCGGCAAAAATTAGAACACATCCAAGCTGAACCAATACAATTGATTAATCGCTTCTACTCTTTCTGTTCTCTGTGTTCTGCGGCTTTGATTGCTTCATATAACGAATCAATAGAACCTTGTGGTCTTTCCACTTTGCCACTCAAAATATCCTCGGCCGAGACTGGATTTCCGTAAAACAATTTGTTGGCATCTTTGCGTTCAATAATGATGGTGCCTTCGAGTGACACACCTGTAAACAATGATGAATTTTTTGAGTGATAAAAATCTTCTGACCATACAATTAAAGTGAATCACTTACCAGCAAAGAGACCCTTTGATTTACTGTAAGAGTAGAGGGCAGCTGCTTCATAAACACTTCCCGAAACTTCTCCTCCAATAGCGACAGGTCCAGCAGTTACTGCATCCGGTAAATCAGAGATAATGATAAGTATCCGGATCGAGAAAAAAAAACCAACTTCTTTCTTCATTAACACAAACCAGATAAGCTTCCACCCAATGTTAGGTTTTCACCGTGACAGAAAGCTTTGACTGCTTCTTTTGTATTTAGAATAATTATGAAATCTGTAACATCGGCACCTATCTGTGGACCAAATCCTACACCCCCGATGTTAATGCATGACGGTGGAGACCAAGCTGATTGTTTTTTTTTTAAAAAAAATAAAATTAAAATGTGTTGCTAAAAAAATTAACAAAAACAACTCGCTTAATACTAACTTCCGTCATCGAGTCTAATAAAATGCATTGTGAATATGCAAATCGTACATTAGTGTCGATCAATGAATGTCGTGATTCCAATGGACAACCTAACTTACTTGGCGACGACTAAGCCAGACCCAACGCGTCCGGACCAAAAGAATCCAGCTTTAATTACGGTAAAGATGGCCAAACCCAAGGCTTTGTTAAAGACATCCTTTGGAATTACTTGATCCAAGGCACCCTCATTTTTTCCGGAGTCTTTAAAAAAAAGATATTTCTTTATTAAATGTTCTTTTACTAATCAAGCATTTTGCCAAAATTAAAGCACCTGAAGTAAATAAAATAAAATATTATTATATACCTGTAAACAAGTGCAAGATATTTGTAGCTTTTGTAACTTCTGAAACTAAGTCTGCAGGTAAAGGCGAATGGATATCCGTGCCAAGGTCCGTGGCCGCCTTCTTGATATCTCGCGTACCATCCTGAATGAAAGTCTTAATCTTATCGCTCACTGCTGACATGATGAATTCTATTAATTATTAAAGGAGGAATACAGTTTTTAATGTTCAAAGGATAAGTTCCTTCCCCTTTTATACATGAAATCGGAGTGCACGTGTCTTTTTATTTATTTGATTCGCCGATACATATACAGTAAAAATTTCCCACTTTCACGAGTAGTCTCACGCCAAAAAGTAATGTTCACAATTTCACCGGTATTAATCCAGTCATTTTTAATTCTCATCTATTGTAATATTATACAGATATTTTTAATGACAAAGTTAAGCTCGTATGGTGTGCACATATAAATTTCAACACTAAATCAACTGTAAAAAATGTGAAAATGACTGCCAACTAATGATTATCACAAGCGTTAGCCACTTAAATCATGATTACATACATAAATTGAATTTATCTTAGTGTGATGAATTTCCGGTTATGACTTGTGGCATCTACAAATGATTTACGCATGTACACAATTTTCAATTGATCTATTCAAAAATTTCTTCTCTGCCTCATCATGCCAGTTCCTTATGGAGCCCTTATTCCTTTGGGTAAATTGAAATATTTTGGGATACCTACAGTTTATTCTTTGTTTTGAAATCTTTTTTTTTAAATATGGATCACCGCTTTTCACAGGTATCATTACAGCAATGTTCGGAGTGAGCGGTTCCTTGCTTCATCTTACTAAAACTTATGCTCACGAAGGAAAGGTAAATAAAATTCCCCGCATTTTCATCATAGAAAATTGGTAGATCGATCTTCAAGTTTATTATATTTAATTAAGATCATGTCATTCGGATTTCTGATATGGCTAATACATGTTTAACCTTCAATTTTCACTTTTTATCAATTAGCCCCCAAGATACTGTCTAGATAATTGGGACAAACAGATGATGGAGCGTGATAAAAGATTGACGGGAAGTCCACATCGTCAGACAGTTGCGTACTCCTTTGTTTATTCTATTTGCTTTTTACAATTAATCACCATACTAAATATTCCTTCTCCTGACAATCAAAAAGTCTGAACCAATTGCGCCAAAAGAATTCACAACAAACAGTGTTTGGTATTTGACTTCAAAGAGGATTTTATGGCAATGACCTTTGATTGCAATATATCCCAACCAATTTTGGACTTTACATTCCATTTGACCGGATCCCAAAAAATAAAATTTTCTTTTGACATGTATGACACTTCAGTAGAGCAATTATTTATTTATGTTACTGAACCCAAAAAATAGAAAACAATCGATTACAATGATATCTTAACAATTACGTATTTTACGTGATGATAACATCGTCTTGAAAAGAAATGAAATGACAGATGGTAATTTGGTGGACGTATGTCAAATTTACGTATGCCATCTACATGTATACGTACAATAATCTAGATTAGTAACGATTTTTCTTCTAGTGACTTCCGATTAAAAATTTACTTACAGCTTCTACTTATTATAGAATTAATAATGATTAATGTGAATACTTGGTTTTTTTATTAGTAATACCAATTAATAACATTAGATCAAATAAGTATGTTCAGTACAGTGTAACAAAGTCAATATAAATATTCAATTTTCATTAGTAATACAAGTAACTATACATATCCATTTTAAATTTGATTTTTTAAGAATAAATTATTTTAATTAAACTTGAAAAAAATTTTTTTATAATAATATCAATTACCTGATAATTTGATTTGATTCGTTTTGTGAAGATTATAATTATATTGATTATTGTATAATTTATTTAAAATATATTATATAATCGTTTGTTTTTATTTTTTCATTCAATATTTAAAATAAAATCATAAAATAAAATAAGATCATAAAAAAAAAATTTTTTTTTTTACTTGTTGATATAAAAAATATTATAAAAATATATATGCTTTTAAATTTGACTAGTTAACAATTTCTTAAAAAAATAAGCTTATTAAGATTAATTAAACATAATACAGAATTAGTTTTTACTTTATAATTTATTATTATTTTAAAAAAAAAAATTCAAAATTTATATTATTCTTTTTTTAAATATGTATATTAAAAAAAGATATATATAAAAGAATTATTAATTTGTTAAGATTTATTTAACAAATTTTTTATATTATTCAATATAAAAAAGTTTGATAAATGGGTTTTTGATTTTTTAACAAGTAAAAAAAATTTCAAAAAGTTATAAAAAATATATATATACAGTATATAATTAATATAATTATGTATATATAATTTATTAAAAAAAGTATTATTATAATAATCCTTTCCTATTAAGCATAATTGGTAAATTATTAATGATAACAATTTCTGTAAGCATTGATATTGACTCTACCCTTAGCCTGTTATCATTCTAAATAAGTTACAAACTTAAACTACTTAATTCAATCAAGCATTGACTGCTTTATGAGTAGAGTAATACAGGACGCAACTCCATTATTATAGTATTTGTCATAATGTTATTGATGTTATAATAAATATTAAATATAGATAATATAGTAATCAGATTTGAGGTTTTTAATTAATGGTAGTCTTTTAATTAAGTAATAAATTAATTTCAGATTTATATTTTGTTATGAAATAGAGTTGTATAGTATTTCTTGATTTGGATTTGTTTTGGTAATACTATCAGAACCTGTATAGATTACTGATCTCATATTCTTCCAATCTGATAGATTGTTGTGTTGTTTGATTTTGTTAAAAGTTATATAAGTATTGATTAGTGTATTAAATATAATAGATCTTTTGATAGGGATAAACTAAATGCAATTTTTAATAAGAGAAAAGTTATATGAAAACTATAAAGACTAGGTAGAAAACAAAAAACTTTGAAAAAAATAAAATACTATCTTTTAAAATAGTTTTTAAAAATGTTTGAGAGAAAAGAATATTATATATACTTTAAATATGTTTTATATAAAAATAGGTAAAAAAGTTTTTCTTTAACTTGGAAATTGCTTATATAGGCTTCACTTGATAAAGCAAAAAGTTTGTTCAAAAAGGTTTTTGCTCTTTCTAAAGCATTCACCTCTCTATAGAGAGTTAATTGACTCCTTGCACCTCACAATAAGTAAAAATAAACTTCTTTTCTAGTAAAAGATTTTTGCTGACTATTTACCATTTGCCATTCATATAATTACCAAAAAATGAATTTTTTTATAAATTAAAGTGTTGCGAAAAAGAGTTTTTTTTTTTTTTATAATTTATAATATATTGTTTCTTATAAAAAATTAATTTATATATTAATTTAACAGGTATTAAGATTATAATCTTTTATTTAAAATATAATAATATTTTTATTTTTAATTAAATCACTAAAAATATATTTATTAACTTTTAAAAAACAATAATACAATATATAGTTTGTTTAAAAAGTCTTTAAACAAATATTTTTTATAATAAATAGACAAATATTTATTTATTTGCTATAAAATTTTAAAAATATATTTTTTAGAATATAAAAAATATAAATAATAAAATAATAAGTTTTTTATAATAAATTTATCTTAAAATTTAATTTTAAAACTAAAAAAAATTGGTTTAAAAATTTTTATAGGTTTTATATATAAATTTTTTTAAAAATTGTAATAAAGTTTTTTATAATGTACAAATTAATTTATAAAAATAATTTATAAAAATTTTTAGATTTTGATTTTGATATAAATTTTGAAAAAATTTTATATTTTATATTATAAGAGAGATTAAAAAAATTAAGCAGATTCAACATATGTCATTTTTGTCCAATTAGGGCTTAAGTAATTTTTAGGATTTTAGGAATTTTTTTTTTTTTTTTTTTTTTTTTTTTTAAAGTGGAACGTGCGCAAGGCATGTGATCTTTATTGATACAATCTATATCC